GAAGAAGAAGAAGAAGAAGAAGAAGAAGAAGAAGAAGAAGAAGAAGAAGAAGAAGAAGAAGAGAAGAGAGAGAGAGAGNAGGGGGAGGGGAAGATGCGAATACACGAAAGAGTAAAACTCTCGAGAATATTTTCACAAGTGGACACTATTGAGAGTGAAAGTTATTGTCGGACAGTCAGTCATTCTTAACGCAGTTGTCCATTTACAAGAAATAACTCTCGAGAGCAACTCGCAAGAGTTTTACTTTCGAACGTATTCGTATTCTAACAATGATGTTAAACGGACATTAAATATGTATATATTCCCGTATTTTCGATTTTGATCGTTGAAATAATAATATATTCCTTCGCTATTTGATTTTGTGTGTAAACAATTAATATTTAAATATTGGAGAAAATATTATGTTAAAGTGAAGAAATACGTAATGAATAATGAAAATAAGGAATAGATTTTTCTTTAAGAAAAAAATTAATTAAATTGTAATATAAATAACATGTAGATAGATAATAATATAATTAAGAAATAAATAAATAGAGAATGAATTTTGATTCAATAATTAAGTAACTAGATATTAAATATATTAGATATTAAATAAAAGAATTAGTAAAACTTAGTAAAAAATAATAATAAATAGATAAAATGAAGTTTATAGTCGAAGAAAACAATAGTAAATTGTGATAAAAAGTATGATGAAAAAAATGATGAATTAAAAGTTGAATAATGTAAATTAAATTAAACAGTTTATTAAATAATTAAAAAAAAAAAAAATAAGAAAAAATCTAAATCTGAATAATAAAAAATTATTACAGTTATGGAAAAGGATGTAAAAACGATAATAAAAATGTCGAATGGTATCAATAATCATAAAAATAGCGTTATAATTATGAAAAATGACACTAAATAACAAACAAAATATTGCAATAACAAAAGTGGCACAGAATGGTACAAAATCGTAAAAAAAAAAGTATTGCAGTTATAAAAAAACGATACCAAAAATAGGAGGAAACAATGCAAAGAAATAGAGAAAACAACGGATCGTAAAAGAAAAAAAAAAACCATCATACGTTTTAAACATTAAAGCTTTACGAATAAATAAGAATATTTTACGTGCAAGTTATTAGTCATACTGTGCTTGTTATCGTAATCATCCAATAACTCAAGTCAACCAACAATTTACATTAATATTTTCCTCTTACAAAGATGTCTTGTCTTAGGAAGACGCGAGGGAAAGATGAGTCATCAGAATTTCTATCATCATAAATCTTTAACATTATTATATTTTTTTGTTTTGCTATACAAAAATTTCCATCGATTCTTTTGAGACAGATGAAATTGCAATAAAGATTTTTTACAAACGCGTTATATGATGCTTCATGGAAGATTATTTTTAGCCAGATCTTTGGATTTTACTGTTTATAAAAGCAATTTAATCGGTGACTATCTTTAGTATTGCTCACAATATTATGAAGATTTTTTTTTTAAACAGCAAACAGGTAAATCATAGAATCATTAAATATCGAATTCCTTGAAAACTCATATTAATTGTAATATGCATGCGCATATTAATATTTTTCAACATCATTAAAAAGATAGAAACATCGCTTTCGCATAAAAACAGTATTTATTAAATAGAAAAGCAATGGATCGATCATTTAGGAAAAAACATTGATTTTATGCTATCTTACCGTGAAATCTGAAATCACATGTCGATTAAATTGTATAATTTATTTGTTTGTCTTTTTTTTCTTGGAAATTAAATAGCAGTTTTAAATATATTATTTTTATAATATATCATTACAACAAATCAATGTTTTTTTATTATTTATTTATTTCATTGCTCTTAAAAAATTCAATTATTATAAGAAAATTAAAAATTATAAAAAAAATTTATTTATTTTTCAATTTCTTAATTGTTCATTCCTTGATTTTTTCCAAAAAATTACAAAAATTATTATTCAATTATGTAATATTACACATTATACATGTAATATTATAATTACAATAGTTTTAGATATAAATTTTTCCTAAAAAATTTATTAACTTATTATTTATAAAAAAATTATTTCGATTTAAAATAAAATTCCTTCTATTGAAAAATTAGGAATTATAAAAATAAAAATAACAAATTGCTAAATATTATTTAATATAAAAAATACGAAAATTCTGTTAATACTCTATCATTTAATTAATTTAAAATATTTATGAGCAATTATCTATATATAGATAATATATATATATATATATATTATATATATAATTGCAATCTAAATTTTTATACATAAAATTTAAATATTCTTTTTTTAAATAATAGTTTTTTAATTTTTTTCGATCAATATTATTATGTGCAATTATAACATTTATGTTACATATGATAAAAGGAAAAAGTATATACTCGTGATTCAATGACAAGTTTCTCGCACACTAGATTTAATTAAATAATATTTGAAATAAAAATAAAGATTTAAAATAACTAAAAAATAACAACAACTAACAAATTTATATTTTAACACAATAAATAATATTGACATAATTGATAAAAAATAAGAATCAAAAGTTATTTACAAAAATATTGTAGAAATATTATAGAAATCAAAAACTTATATTGATATTATAAAATCTTAAATTGAATTATTTCTAATTTTACATACTAGTATCATACGAATTTACGAAGTATCATAAGATGATATTTAGAACATAAATGTCGTCGAGAATAAATAAATGTATCGAAATTTAAAAATCAAGATTTTTTTGTATTTATTATATAAAACATAAAATATTTGTTTCGAATATTGCAATTTAATTAATTCCAGTAATTTATTAATTTTCATATTCTGTATTAAAAATCATAGAACAATGTGATAATTTTGCGAAGACAATAACCGAATAATAGCCGCATCTGAAAGGTAAACGTGCACTGACCTGTAGAGGTTCCGCGACCTATGCAAACGGTAGTCGGTCCACTAGACGCTCCGTAACACTAGTTTCTAGTTTAGGCAGAGAAGGGTAACCCGGCCGGAGGAATCTTCATGGGACGTTCACTATCATCGTGAGTCTTGAACTAGACTGTGCACAGGCACTGAAGAACTCGTTCCTTTCCCTCTTCCTTTTCTTTCAGTCCAGCTCAAGCTAGTGGCGGAGGGACACCCGAAGGTTGCCCTCGGCTTTAACCAAACCAAAATGGTTAGCATATCGTGGCATAATATAAATCAAAACATCTTCATTCGTGAAACAATCTTCAAGGATCGAGCTAATAAATCGCAGTGTTCTATGTAAAATTATCTATCGAACATCTGACGTGACAAGAGTTTTAATAAATTCCATTCGATTTGAATTTTCAATCGATATAACACAGAACAAAAGGACGATCTATAATCGATTATGTCAATCAAGATAAATATTTATCGATTATCGATTATATCTATGATTGCTTATTTCAAATACTTACTTAATAAAAAAATAAAAGAAAAAACAATGATATGTATTATTTAAAATATGTGAAAACAATATTCATAAATTTATATATATGTACGTTTATATAATGCTAAGAGGAAAGCGGACGATAGTGAATGGATGCATGTTTTCCTCATATGTGATGACGTATTTACTATCTTGTTTAGCTTTACTCGAATTATTTTAATCAAAATAATGAAAAATTAAATGATATCTAAAAATAAAAATAATTTTGGATAAATAGTTAGAAACAAGTACATTTTATTTACATAAATGTACATATTTATTTATATGCATATTTAGGAAAAATCTGTAAAACTCAGTTATAGTTCATAGGAATCGGCCGCGTTCTATTACATCATAATTTGCTTACTACTGTAACGTATAGATATAACGTATATGTACATAACACACATTTACGCAATTCTGAATACAATCATGAAATTTTCAAACTTATTTCGCCTTTATTAAATTATTGAAAATATTCACCGATTACGTACAAAATTTTGATTAAATTTATATCTTGAGCATGCTGCAGTCTCTAGGAGATAGAGCAGGTAAGTTCACTTAGTGACTTGATGCTAGATGCACTTGATTGTGTAGCCAGTAAACCATGTGAAATATGTACACGGGTAAAAGCTATAGGGTGGGAGATTCCTCCTTCCAAGTCCTGTACACACCACCGGTTCTTGCCTTTATTCAAACCAACATCGAATCAAGCTTGACCACCATATACTCAATATATTATTCCAATGGGCCAAGATAATCTTTCTTTTCTCCCTGTGTAAATGTGGTTGCTTTTACACATTTCTTTATCTTCATTCTGTTTTACAGATCTTCTTTCTGCTCCGTCGGTATCCTTTTTTTTCTCGACTCTCTTTTTTACCTTCCTCCTTAATCGTTATCCTGCAGGTTACTTATCACTTTTTATTTGAAAATGCGCGCGGCTATTTTTAACCTGGGCATTCTTCTTTCTCGTGGTCTTATTTCATCCCAGCTCGTCTTTCTTCGTACCATCGCTTCTTCTATTCTTCGAGTAAATAAAAATGCAACCCTAGTTGAAACTTTTTTATTTAATTGTCTCCTATTTTTGAATATTATTTTATTTTGTAATAACAATATTTTGTAACTGATTTTGCAAACAATAACCAATTTTGTTTTAGCTATATTTATTTTTTGTCAAAGATATTATATATATAAATATGTACATAAATATTAAGTTTTCTGTTGACAAAAAAAATTATTTTCATAATTATTATAATTAATTCTATTTTTCTTTTAACCTATTAATTAATTATTTATCTATTATATATTATATTATTAATCTATTATTATTTATTATATTATATATATTTACTTATATATTTTTCGATATTGCTCCATAGTTATATTTGTGTATTACATTAATATATAAAATTGGTTAACATTTAAATATAAAATTTGTTTTTGTTTGTTTTCTTTGTAAAATGAAAGTTCTACGCATAACGATTTAATGAGACGAAATAAAAATAATTTCAAAACTTCGCATCATTCATTCAGTATGTAATGCAACACGAAAAGGAATTAAAAGTTCATAATAACAGTTATACATATTTATTGCTGATGGTAATAGGTATAGCTGGAAGTAATTGAGTAGATTCAATATTAGCCAGGTCTGGTTAAGAATAGCCAGCATGGGAATCCCGTTTGACCACCTTGTGTGCCAGTTGCTTACTGACTAAATTAGGGTAAATGTTCCGTTGTACAAAATCGATCGTTATTATTTTATTGAACAATAATATTAAATTATTTAATTTAATCATTTCGATAAATGTATTATATTATAGTAAACATGAAATATAACCTAATTAAATAATAAAATTACAATCGTTATATATTTTAATATATATTTAATTTTGATATACATATATTTTTTATATACAAATTATTTATAAAATAAAATTACAAGTAGAAGATTAGAGTAGAAAATATTTTAAGAGAATTTATTTGAATAATAAAAGTTTTTTATGCGTGTATTTTATTATATTGTTATATGTTGTTATATTGTTTTATAATATATAATTAATATATAATTAATAATAAATAAATTCAAAAGATTATTTTCAAAAATTTATGTGACAAAATATAAAGAAATATAAAAATGAATTACTTGTAGTTTATTTGTTTTGATATAAAATTCTATATTAATTAATAATATGTAAATTTAATTACATAAATTAATGTTAAATAAATAAAAGTATATTGTTTGTAACAATTTACGTTTTAATTATAATTTTATTGTAAAAATGAATAATTTTTATTTTATTTAATTTATTAGAAGGTATTAATAAATGCACATTAAATTTATATATCAGTCTGTAAAAAATTTACATTTATTAATAAAAATAAATATAATTTTATATTTTATATTAATCTTGCAATAGTTATAATTGTATAATAGTTTTTTTAAATTCAATTGTTATAATAGTTTTCTTAAATTTATTATATCACTTTAATATTTAATATTCAATATCATTTTAATGCACATTTAATATAAAAAAATTCATATATTGAATATATTAATTTTATTTAATATTTATCAGTATATGATAATCACAAATATAAGCACAAATTTTTTTTATAATAAATTAATTACTTTCATTTTGAAAACAATTTTTTACATAATATAGAAAAATCATATTAAAATAAAATACAATATTTGTGAATAAATAAACATATTTAAAGTTTTTCAAACAATTCTATGAATGCATCAAAATGTCATAAATTTTCATTTTTTCGAAGTTTTAGTTATAGCTCTAATGATAAATTAGATTAATATTAAATATAATATAATACTTATAAAATTATGTTAATTTAAACAAATTATTAAAATTTTCACATTAAATTTGTTATTGGTCTCACTCTTTGTTAACATTAACTTATTATGTTGTATTAAATGAAAATATATACATGCATTATTTACAAATAAATATTTTAAATAATATTTTTTAATTTGTTGAAATATAAATTCAATATATAGGGATATATGTGTTTCAAGATAATATTAAATATATTAATATATTTAATATAAAACTTACATTGTTACCGATATATTTTTAATAAAATATGTCAGTTATTTTTATTATTTATATAATTAAAGTTATGCGATTTGTAAATTTGTATTACATATTCCATAAATGCTATTGTATTAATTTATTTTGTAATTGAATACAAAATGTTTATGATATTCTCAAGATTTAATATTATATGTACTTAAAATATTCGTTCCAAAATACTCTGTATAAATATTATTATTAAAAGTATTTCAAAAATTCCTTATTTATAATTTTAAATTTTGATTTAATTATTTTGATGAAGATTCTATTTATTCCAGTTCTGTTTTTAATTCAATTATTTTGTAGCTTTTGTACCATTTTATTGGTACAACAATTTGTTATTTAAGAACACATTAGGTATTATAGCATACAACATTTCTTTTTATTTTTCTTATAATTTAATTCTAATGGTGGTCTTTCAGACAATTGAAATTTTCTGACAATTCTCACTAATTCGTGAAAAGCTTGATCGACATTCATCCTTAATTTTGCACTACATTCAATATAAGGAATTTTTAATCGACGAGCTCTGTTTTGTGCCTCTTCAACTTCAATCTAAAACAGTTAACATTAAGATGTATTAATTTTATATTCTTTGTTTTAAAATATAATCATTTCATTAGTTTCTTTATTTTATTTTATTTACTTACAACTCTATGATAATCCAAATCAGCTTTGTTACCAACCATAAGCATAGGAAACTCTTCTCGATCCTTTACTCTAAGTATCTGTTTGTGAAATTTTAATATTTCATCAAAAGATGAAAGATCAGTTATTGAAAACACAAGAAGGAAACCTTCACCACTTCTCATATATTGTTCTCGCATTGCACTAAATTCTTCTTGACCTGCTGTATCTAATACTAAAATTATATAAATATTATTTTTAGTATTAAAAACATTCATTACAAATTTTATATTAGTATTAAAAACAATATTATTTCATTAAATTTAATGAATATATACACTGTTATTTTGTAAATGTTTATAAATTGACCATTCTAATTTTTTCATAAAATATTCATTTTAAAATTAAATAAATAAGGAATTATAGTCTTACAATAACAAACCCATGATTCATTATGGAACTGCATGAAAATTAATATAAAATAAGTTATAAAAATTGTATAAATATATAAAATGCAATTGTACAAATAATTAATATTAATTAAAATAATAATGAATGGATTTAATAATGTTACATTTTTATTAATTTACTCACTATCAAGTTTTGCAGGAATATCATCAATAACACATTGTTTGGTATAAGAATCTTCAATTGTTGGATCATAATCAGTTACAAAATAACTCTGAAAGATATTGATAAAATTAATTCAAAGCTAAACAATAATAATCATTATAAATAGCAATTAAATAAATATAACTAATAATTATTAGCTTTGATATTATTCTTTTCTTTTTTTTCTTTCTTTTAAATTTTAATAAAAAAAAATATAAATATAATAAAAGAAAATTATAATATATATACCAAAATGAAATTATGCATTTTTTTTATGCATATTAATATAATGACATAATTTTATGACTATAATCTTATCCAAAATTGTGCATGATATAATTAATAATAAAAATAATTTTTTTTAATATTTAGTGCAAAAATAATTTAAAAAATCATCGTTATGAAAATATAATATCAAAGTTTTTTTTATTTCGATTATATCATTATGATATAATATATTAGATAAATATATCATAAATATTTCTTATTTAAATCTTATTTGAATTACGAATAACATAGGATGCGTAAAAATGACAAATCTAATAGATATACAAATAAATTATATATATATATATATATATAATATATATCATAATAAAATATATACATATATATAATAACGTATGTATACAAACATAGTACATACGTCTAAATATACGTTCATCTACACCCACGTATATACGTGTTGCTTGCACCTATTGGCCATAAAAAGTACTTACTTGAATGAATTGTATTGTGATCGCAGATTTTCCGACACCACCCGCACCAACAACAACGAGTTTATATGTCTGCGCGTAACTTTGTTTGTCACCGGATTTCGACATTTTTCATATAATTGCCGAGATATGTAAATTTATAATTAAAAAAACTCAGTGACACATATTGATAACAGTATGACAAAATATAGAAAAATATAAAATTGAGGCGCATTCACATACGAACATGTACGAACTTTTTTACGAGAAAACAAAATAAACTAAATATTGCATATTTCGTTATTATCATTCACGATTTAAGCGCGATTAAACATCACAAGTCTTGTATAAATTCGAACTTACTAAAAACCATGCTAACGAATGAAACGAGAGAGATACTAGAAGACATATCCCCACCTTTATACTATACATGTATATCGTATCATGCTATTTCGATTGATTGCGCAGTCGCTATTACAATACCGCCCTCTTATGCGCTTACGTCTATCTCAAGTATGTTATGAAGAAAATGATTTCAAAATCATTCAATTTTATATAGTGCTAAACATAAAATAATTATGTATATTATTTTTTAATATATTTAATGATATCTAATGATATTATTTTTGGGAACGATCCATTTTTAGGAAATCTTTATTCAATGTTAAAAAAGAAAAGATTTTAAATAAAACTTTATCTGTAGTCATATTATGTGTTTAATATAACAATATTACATAATTAAATTATATATTATTATATTATTCAAAGTATGCATAGTATTTGGTAGGTACACATTGATATAATTTATAACATATTTTAATCAATAATAATAAGAGCATTAATTTATAATAATTATTTATCATAATAAAAATTTACCATTAATCTTTGTAAATTTTTATTTACTTTAGATGAATCGAAATTGATAAGCTTTTAAATTAATAAACAATTATACTACATCATTATTATTTAATTTAATTACGCCCATTTATCTCTTAATATCCTTCTTATCATTTGAT